CTTATACAAGCCTAAGATACCGAAACCGTACTGTCTGAAGTATCCATTGTCGTCGTTTATCTCCGTGCTGTACTTCAAGTCTGCGAGCTCTCGTTCAGTCTTAGGTTCCTCTTCTTCTTCTTCTTCAACGAACTTCCCAATATCATCGTCCGCGATTAATATTTCGTCTTTAAATTTATTATAATCTTCACCGTTCACCACGTCTGGGTTGAACTCACTGAATACAATGGGGAAGTACACTTGTGTGTACTTTATCGTATTTATTCTAATTCTCCTCAGCGATAGATGGTTGAACATCATATCCACGTCGATAAAGAAGATCAGGTCATCATCCTGGCACAGCTTCAGCCCCTCAGTTAGAGCGGCGCCTCTCGAGAAAGTTGTCGAACCCATTTGTATTATTCTTATATCTTTGCTGTACATATCCGTGTAATACTTGACTAGAGACTGTGCGTTCACGTAATCCACTGGGTTTTTACTATCTAGATACAGCACTATAATTAAAGACACCACCTGATCAGTTTTGAGTACGATATCCTCGTAATTCTTCATGAATCTACCGAAGGTTTCCTGTCTGCCGGAGAGCGGCATGATGAAGTTAATGCGTCTGTCATAAAGCGGGTACTCGAGCTCGTCATCATTCCACTGCAGCACCTTGGGCAGGTTGCTGTGTATGCGCATGAGGCCGCTCTCCAGCGCGCCGCGCACGCCCAGCCGCTCCAGGAAGCCCTGCTGCTGGCTCGGCTCGTCGAAGTCCTCGTACTCCACGCCCTCCACCTGCTCCAGGATGGACGGCTCCTCGGGGGGAGGAGGCTCGCCGATCGGTAACTCTCTTATCTCCGTACCTGAAATTATGCAGTCATAAAAGTTAAACTTTGGGAACAGTTCAGCTTTCGTGTATTCATGAAGGAGGTACAAAAGAAATGCCAAAGCATAAAAGATTTTAACTAAAAGACGTTTACTAAGATATGAGTGTTCTGTGACATTGTATACAAGCTGTTCCCGTGCGGCTTCATCCGCATGATATTATTAAAATTAATAATTTAATTAAACTTTATTTTATTGTTTACATTTGTTAACTTTTCAATTACAAATGTCAAAAGCACAAATGACAACGAAGGCCTTTGATATTGAATAACAATTACTAGGTAGTGTGTGTTTACGCTTTATTATATTAGTACTAGCTTTTGCCCGCGACCCCGTCTACGTGTAATTAAAAAAAAAAAACAAAAACCTTTGTGTTCTTCCAGACTATCCACTACATCTATGCCAAATATCATCGAGATCCCTGCAGCCGTTTAGGCTACAAACTTTAACAAACATGCATCCATCCATCTAAACTTTCGCTTTTATAATATTAGTATGATAGATAGATATATATGTCGCAGGAAGCTATAAATTGACTGTTGCTTTATGTGTAACAAACGTTATTGTCTTGCGTTTTAATATTGTTTAAGATAAA